GAATGATGAATTTTTGAAGGATTGTGAAAATGAAAAAAATTATAGTCATGCCGGCCCAGCATCATCAACGTTGAAAAATGCCCCGGCACGAAGTGGTTAAAGAGTTATGTGGTTGATGCATGCTGTAAAAATGAGCATACTAAAAGTACACGTAAATTGATGAAGCTTCTTTTCCCTCTCCTGTTGCAGTCTTTTGAAGAGGAAGAATTTGTTGGAGGGACTGGGTACAGTGCCCTCGTGGGGTCCTTTCCGAAAGACTTTGGCTACGGACCAGATGACCACAATGCAGAGGTGGGCGCTGTCGCAGCCGACAGCAAGCCGCGGATACTGTTGATGGGGCTCCGGAGGTACAGTAGGATTTGGAAGGAAGAAGACCACCATAAGGAAATTGTTGGGAAGGATGTCCAAATTGCAGATTTGTTACTTCAGGTCCAGGCCTTCATGTCATGAACTGAGTCACCTGAGCTGATACCATCTGACTTGATGCAGTTCCACCTACCACTGATGAAACATCAAGTTGCCCAGTTTAAAGGTTTCATTTAAGCGCAACAGTAAATGTTCAAAACTGAATGTGGAGATTCAAGATCACTCCAAGGCCAAGGACAGAGTAGAGGCTTAGAAAAGCCCCAGAATGAAAATCATGGTGCTCTCAATGCGATTTGTGCGTAAATCTGTTGAGTACTTCTCAAAGTCATCTGCTCATCAGTGTTAAATAAGCTCCCAAACCACAGCTTTTCTCCTGCCATAAGAAGCCTATAAGATTTGACCTTCAGTGTATTGAATCGAATTGAGTTTTTGATTAAAATCATTGCAGCAAAATCTGCCTTGTTTCTCTGTTTTTTTCCCATCAAGGAGTGGAAAGTCGTCAATCCAGAAGGTTGTGTTTCACAAGATGTCACCAAATGAAACACTTTTCCTGGAGAGCACCAACAAACTCGTCAAAGATGGTAAGTCTTATGACCTCACCTCAGATTTAAAGATCTGTGAGTCAAAATGACAGTGGGTGGTTGGTTGGTTGGTTGGTTGGTTGGTTGGTTGGTTGGTTGGTTGGTTGGTTGGTTGGTTGGTTGGTTGGTCGGTGGGTTGGTNGTTGGTTGGTTGGTTGGTTGGTTGGTTGGTTGGTTGGTTGGTTGGTGGGTGGGTGGTTGGGTCGGGCGGGCGGTCGGTCGGTCGGTGGGTGGGTCGGTCGGGTGGGTGGGGTGCGTTGGGTGGTTCCGAGTGTTATTGACACTAACTGGCTGTCCTAAGGCTCTCAACTTTAAAGATCTCTCCATTTATTTCCTAGTCTGGTTCCCAAACCAGAGATCTTTAGGTGTGGTACATATACCTACCATGGTCATGTGACTAAAATGGGAGAAATTCGTCCCATTTCCAAAACTTCTGAAACTGACCAAAAATTTCCAGACCCTTTTGTTGATTTCCGGGTACCATCGTCAGTATTGACTCTCTTTACATATTTTTTACATGCGTAAAAAAGTTCTTTGGTTGTTCTTGTCATTTCCTTTGCATATTGATCTGCCCTTATACAGAACTTTGATTAGGCTTCTTTTTAAAAAGTAACAAACAGGTGGGTCCTTGATAGAAAAGTGGAAAGGGCATCCTAGATAGGGTGTCATACTTTATTTTAGTGGCAAATGGTTACCTGCTATCAATGCTATTGATACTGCAGGGAACCTGCCTATATTTCCTATTGTTTCTTTTTCAGTTTATTATTAATTCAACCACTTCCACACCTTCCCCCCCTCCTTTTTTGGCTAACCTACAGATATCAACAACAGCTCCTTTGTTCAGTTCCAAATCTGGGACTTTCCCGGCCAGATTGATTTCTTCGATCCAACATTTGACTCAGAGACAATATTCGGTGGATGCGGAGCTCTCGTATTTGTCATCGACGCCCAGGTAAAAAATTTTTCCCGCACCGTGAGAAAGATTGGTGAGATTTTTTTTTATTCTCTAGAACATCTTTTTGATTCAAGCAGGTTCTGTGTCTGTGCCCAGTTTTACTTAGACCACACATTAGTTTCCATGTTTGTACCTAAAATAAGAACAAGACCTGTACAAATCCAAGGTTAGAGCATGAGTACTTGAAATGTTACCCTCCCCAGAAATGTCCCTGATGACTTGATGTTAGTGAAGGTATGAGTGAGATGGTGGAAAATACATGGACCCAGCACAGATCTGAGCAGTGTGCACCGTGGTTACTGTCTACAAGTCCATTCCCTGACAGCATTAACAATGCCTCTGCTGCCCCACACTGAATTATTTTTGTTTTCCTGAGGTTTCAACCCCCAACAAACCAAATCTTGCATGCTTCTAAGGCTGAGCACAAGCAAGGAATTGTGGCACAGTATTGGCATGTAACTGCTGAGCCAAGGGACTCTGTGTCACTGCAGTCTTTCTCAAGAAACCTGTTCGGTGCTACCGATAAGTGCACCTGTCAAGCTCTTTGTGAGGGCGTCAAGCTTCTCATCTAATGGGAGCTTGAGGGAAGGAGCCATTGTAAGTGTTCGATTGCATTGCTCCATAAGAAGAAACCAACCAAATCCACTCAGGCCTAAAGTCTGGTTTTCAAAACATCTTCCTGGCTTGGCATGAAAAGAAATTGGGCAGGGCTGGGACTCTAGGGTTTGGGTTGTGCAGACTAAGCTCACTTCATGAAGAAGATAATTGACAATGACACATTATCTTCGTCAAACGGCCATGTCGCAGGATGATTACATGGATGCCCTGGCCAAGCTTCACATGACCGTGTCCCGAGCCTACAAAGTCAACCCCAACATTAAGTTTGAGGTGTTCATCCACAAAGTAGACGGCTTGTCAGACGATCACAAGATAGAGACACAGCGGGACATCCATCAGCGGGCCAACGACGACTTGAGTGATGCTGGGCTGAACTATATTCACCTCAGGTGGGGTTAACAAATGTCATTGAGGTTAACAAAGGTCAGAGGTCAAAAGCTGATCTCAAAATTGTGAAATCAATAAGTACAGACCAACTCTCCCAGTCTATCACGTTGTGGTGTGGTTAAACATTGTTCCTGATTGGTGTTATTCAACTTAAACACACTTTTAAAAGGTTTTTGAAAACTGAATGTTCAGAGCAGACCCAGCTCCCCTTATGATAGTAACAATAATAATAATAATAATAATGAACTATTTAAAAAACGATTTCCATGTCAATGACATCTCAAAGCACTGTACAGCAAAATACAAAAATTGAATTAACTTTAAATAATTAAAACAAAGTAACAGGAGTTATAAAACAAAATTAAAAATATCAACATCTCGCTTGAAACAGTTGAAAAACATGGATCAAAATGCATCTTTTCCAAAAGTTCCTTTTGCTTTAATTAAACTTGTATCTGTGTGATTATTTAGTCAATTAAGTTTTGTTTAAATCCACCTCATTATCAAGTTCAAATGTTTGTAAGAGCTGAAATTAATAGAGTGAATTTAAATGTTGATGACCAGGATTATCATCTTTCTGATTTTAGTTTCTATCTGACGAGTATCTATGACCACTCCATTTTTGAGGCCTTCAGTAAGGTGGTGCAGAAACTGATCCCCCAACTCCCAACCTTGGAGAACCTGCTCAACATTCTCATATCAGTAAGTATCCTGGCCGGGGCTGTGGTCCCTGCAGTGTGGCATTTACCACACATAACCTCAGTACACATGGTAGGGTCCTCAAAATATGGACCATCACATTAGATAATGTTCAACTTTGGGGGGCTCATTTTTCCCGAAGTGAACAGCAGTGACTTAATTCCCAGTGTCTGATGAAATGAGGAAAGTCGTGGCTGTTAACTGGAACAGTGATGACCATGCCCATCTTTCAGCTTAATCAGAGTTGATTAATTAGAGTCTGGAACGTCAGCATTTTTGAGGGATGTGAACAAAGTTCGAAATGCTAGCTAATAAAAGTTACGGGGAGTGATAATCCCTGCAGTTATTTTACACAGATTTATATGTAGTGAAAGTTGATAATATTTACAGGTATTAAAACCATAATCACGAAATTAAAAAATACCTCTTGCAAATAACGGGGCCCCGAAATCGGCAGTTTCGAACGTCATTTGATTCTGTCAAAAAAATGACTGCCAAAAAGCGAATAAAATCAAAATGGATGTACAACATGAGCTTTAAAAAAGTGCAAAAATCACCCCCAAACCGTCATCCTTTTACGACTCGACTGATCACAGTCCAAATTACCAATCTTGGCAATTTTGCGGCTGCCGTCAATATCTCATGGTGACGTTAGAGAAACATTTTGCTGCATCGTGGGCTGTTGACCTTTGACATCAACCCAGATAGTGCTCCCTCTTCTTCATTTGATATTCACGAGCCCCTCCATGGAATGGCGATGCACCGGATTTTCCTTTTCGTACCAAGGTTTCTCAAAAGAAAATCTGTCATAATGAATAACTTTCACAAAAAAGTGACATCAGAGATATAAAATATGATTCATTGTGAAAATCTGTTGCTCAGAGTTGTTAATTTTGATTTAATTTTCAGCCGGGATATCTCAACAATAAGCAGCAAAATGGAATTTTCAAGCACTACATGTGACAGAGTTTTCAGCATTTTCGAACTCCATGCATTTTTTGTCAAAATTCTCGAACATCATCAAAATTCCCTCAAATATGACATTCGTAACGAACATATTGGACTCATTATACCTTTTTAATGAAGCCAAACTTAAAGATAATTTTTGTTAATTCAAAGGTATAAGACCTTGCATATATGCTGGTATAGTGAGAGTGATCAGAAACGGTAAGAGAATCAAGAGAGCCAAACTTTTCTAATTTTTGGTCAATTTTGTGCTCTTTTTTCGATGGATATTATTTTTTAAAGTTATTCCTTAGATGCTTCAAAATACATCAGTTGAAAAATATACTGAATTCTCCTTGTTGAGAGAAGTTTTGAAATGAAGTCCTCTGGTGCAAACACTTTGACGTAAAACTCTAAATGAATTTAACTCCATTTGATTTGCACTGGTAGGCAACCAAATGTCCACCAAATGTACACAGTATGCCTAAGTATCCCCAAATAATCATTTTTATAAATCTGAATGTGCTAATTTGTATTTTACATGATCAAAATCACTCTTGGCTGTTTTGAAAAATGACATGCTGAGTTGCATTTTGGTCCATTTTATGAAGAACGTGCCATATTCATGAGTCAGAACCAGATTCAACCTGGTCAGCTGGAGTTGCCCGCAGCACAGTGCAACACAAATTAGTTAACATGGAAAGGCCAATTTTGCGAAAATAATAGCTGCACAATGGCTCAGTTGAAAGGTTAAGTCTTGTTATAAGGCCAGTTCACTCTTAACGTATAGGCTAAGTGAATTTGACATCACAAAGCCTTTGCAGGGAAATTTTCTTGAAATGAAACAGGTTCAGTTTTTTTTCTGAGTTTACAGCATGAAAAATTGATCTCACAATGCTGCATTCATGTTCACTTTCATGCCCAGTAAAAACTAGGCTTTGAGTTAGAATTTGTCAGGATGTTGATAAACATTATCAAAACAGGAAAAAAAAGGTGTTTCTTTGCCTTATTGTTGGGCAAATGCATCAATGTAGTCTACTTGTAACACGTAATTGAATTTTATACTTTTTATGTCATTGTTTCATTTTCCATTGTTAGGTTTTAAAAATATCTGAAATCAAATATTTGGTACAGAAGTAACGTTTAATACACCACCAGTTTTTCCTTTCTCATTCCTCCACTGCAGAATTCTGGCATTGAAAAGGCATTTCTTTTCGATGTGGTCAGCAAGATATACATCGCGACAGACAGCTCCCCAGTGGACATGCAGTCATATGAGTTGTGCTGCGACATGATTGATGTGGTCATCGATGTCTCCTGCATATATGGGTGAGTCTTGACCATGCTGATTTCAACTTGGGGCTGATCTATCATTCACAACGTGCAGCCACCATTGTGTTGGTACCACACTTGTATGCAGGGTGCACCTGCATGCTAAATTCCTCTGCTGCCAACAGGATCTAGCAACATTTTGGAATCCAATGGATTTCAAAATTCCGCTGTCAAAACTTGGAATCCCACGTTTCCCGACTGCATTTTAAGATTCAACGCAAGCACATCTTGTCCTGTGTATGCCATGGGCCTACGTATGTCTCCAATCATGTGGATGTAACGCAACTTTCGTTTGGTAGTATTTATAACATGTTAGTGCTGTGGCGAACGTCTTGTAATGACCGGACAGTCATGTCTCTTTGTAGAATTGGTTGGATAATTTCTTGTTGGCATTCAACCTGCTCCTGTTTGTTTGCCGCCATTTTACTTTGGGTCTGTCAATATGAAGCTCACTGAATTTTCTGTGCCACATAAATGATGTCCACATGGTGTACATGCGACGGGTACAAGTGCCGCACCCTTGGCTCATGTGTACCAAATCTCAAAATCTGGCTCTGAAACCAAACAACCCATGTTATCACCTAGTTTTAGCAATTTCTAAGTCGCAACGTTACCCTAGTACACACTTGCCCTAAGTTTGAAGGTACGCTTGATGTGCCCACAAGGTGGTGTTTGTTTTAAATGCATTGTGCAGACCAGTAGACAGGCGTTCACATAACGAAGGGTTTAAAGACGTGTGAAGACTTTCACAGGACCACACTATGTTCTCTTCCCCCTCCGAAAAAAACAGCTCCAGATTCATTTTGGAATCAGGGTTATCCACGGCAAAAGAGGGCTCATACTGGGGAAATGGGTATCTTCTCCTGCGTTTATTTTAACTGCTTATAAGTTACAAGAATGGGTGGAGTGCCACCATCGCCATGGCACTTTCTTGACTTTCTGTACACATAGTAGGCCACAAATCCCCCAATGTCATCCTTGGCGCTCTCTGACAGTATTTATGTTCCCCCCCCCATGAAGTTGAAGGGGGCGTACTGTGTTTGCCTTGTGTCTCCAAGGGTGGATAGCTGTCTGTGTGTGTGTGTCTGTCTGCAATAACCTTGTCAGCACCGTAACTTGAGAACTACTTGACATATGCACTTCACATTTGGTTTGTGGATCACTCTTGGTGATTTGGGGTCAAAAGGTTAAGGGGTCGAGGTCACAGTAGCTAAAACAGTGGAAATCTTGTACTCACAGCGGAAAGTCGTGGATTTAAGAATTGGCTTAGTGGGGCGTTGGTGTTTAATGCATCATTCTTGCTTGTTCATTTAGAAGCATGTTTCTCTGCTGAGCAAAAATATGCATGTTGGGTGGCTATGTGTAAATTTTTCACTTTTGATTCTTGTCACGTACCCAGTTTGACAGATGATGGCGACGTGGCATATGACACAGACTCCAGCTCCATCATACGCCTTAACAATGCTACAATTCTCTACCTCAAGGAAGTCAACCGATTCCTCGCCTTAGTCTGCATTCTCAGAGAGGACAACTTTGACAGACAGGGTGAGAAATGGTGGGTGGGGGAGGGGTGGGCATGGGCAAAGTCTGTCTTGTTACACATCCCGGTCTGACTAGACACACCCCTCATCGGCAAAGAAGAGACAGACCAGTGAGAAAAATTAAGCTTTGTGCTTAGTACACACATGAACAACATGCATTGATCGCATTTGAGCAAGACAAGATGCCGGCTCATTTTCAAGATTTTCCGTTTTCAAAGTTCTTCAAAAATTCATCATTTCATTTAATGGCCGTTTATACCAAAATGAAGGACTCTTTGGGCACTATTCCAAAGTTGACAGGTAAAATTCATTGTCTCCTGAATATTTCAGCCAGGCCTGCAGCCTTTAAAAAAGAGCCCAGATTGTGCGGTGTTTCGTAAGATTCTTTTGTTCCCGAAACCGGCACAGTGCACTGCTGACATCTTTTCAGATTAGCGTGCAGCGGTGCTGTGGGGCTCATCGCTGCGGTGGTGGAGAGCTTTTGTCCCCGGTGGTAATCCACTCGCTCTAAATGCCTCAAACCATGATATACTGTTTAAAAACGAGGCTGGATTTTCTCCACTATTGAGAGCAAAAAAAGTTGGTAATGCCCTGCAGCTCAGTCTTTTGTGCCGAGCACGGTCTTTTGATATAAGGCCCAACTCTTTTGTCCCAGTTCCGGCTCTGCATTTAAAGCCTATGTACTCGAAAGCGGGTCGCCCGGCAGGAAGTGGTTAACCACTACCAGCCGGGGACTCCGAAATCGGAGCCGTAT